AAGATGTTATAAGAATGAGACATGTGAATAATTTTGATGAAGAACCATTACTAAATGATATATTACAACTCACTGGTTTTTCAAAATTATCTAGTCTTCGATCTTTCAACATTGACCCATGTTTAATTACTGCTCTTGTTGAAAGATGGAGACCAGAGACACACACTTTCCATCTACCACATGGTGAATGCACCATAACATTAGAAGATGTGTCACTCCAAATAGGAGTGAATGTGAATGGCCTACCATTAGCTGGGCCTACATATTTCGATTGGAATGAAATATGTGAGGAACTATTGGGAAAAGTTCCGAGTGACGAACAAGACATGAGGGGATGCGAGTTAAAACTAACTTGGTTGTTTGATAACTTTGAAACACTACCCCCTCGCCCTACACAATTGCAAAAAGAGCAATTTTGTAGGGCACGAATCTTATACATGATAGGCGGTGAGTTGTTACCCGACAAATCAAATAATAGGGTACATTTAATGTACTTACCTTTACTAAGAGATCTAACAAGAGTTCACCGATATAGTTGGGGTTCGGCCTGTTTAGCAAACTTGTATAGGGAAATGTGTCGGGCAACAAAGCCTAATGCAAAAGCCATGGGTGGGTGTTTAACACTTCTACAGTCCTGGGCATGGTATCGCCTACCCTTTTTGGCACCGATAGTTAATCGTCTACCCACGTATCCATTTGCTTCAAGGTAATATAAATTATTTACTATACATTACATATTATTGATCTATTTTTTACTTCTAATATTAATAAATTAATTATTATTTTTTAGGTGGGGTCAAAGAAATCTAAGCTACCGAGGAATTCCACGTGGAGACTTGACTGCATATAGGTCACGCTTGGATCGTATGGATGTCAACGATGTAATAATTTTATTATTCAAATCTTGCTTAATTAAATTAACACAATGTGTAAATTTCCTAACGATATTTATTTTTCACTTATTAGTTTCAATGGCTTCCATATGAGAATTATGTCGACAATCTACCACGTGAAGTTCTAGAAGATAAGAATATTTGGAGTGCTTGCACAGCATTGATCTGTTTCTCCATTGTCGAATGGCATCAGACAGATCGAGTAAGACTACAGTTTAAATTACTGCAAGATTTGCCACAACCACCGCAAAATCTAGATGCCCTACACAGAGTTGACAAACGGGGTAATCTAGATACAAACTGGGCAACTAGACATGCGGAGTGGATTGACTATTGGAGTAATCGGAGGGATCAAGTCCAACAAGGTCCTCAAATCCAATATCCAATTCACACACAACAATATATAATGTGGTATAGAAGAAATACTAGATTATTCTTATCTTCAGAAGCACAATTAAGAGACCCCCGACAAATAAATTATCAACAAAATCAACCTCCCACATACCAACAACCAACATACCAACAGCCCATATACCAACAAAGTCAACCACCCATATACAATAGAAATCAACAACAACCATACTATACAAATCTACCTCCCATACCTCCAACATCAATGTTCCAACCTACTATGAACCCGCCTATTATGTCACAAAATCTTTGGTATCAACCAACAATGTCTGCCTCGTTTAACATTCAACCAGGAAGAATGTCTTTTCACGAACCGTCACAACACCATCGCAGTGACGACATGATGCCTAGCCGCCACTCATTTTCTACCGATCATAATGACTTTATGAATAACTTACTCGGTACACCTGACTCGGCGAGTCAACTTTTTAGTGATATAGGCTACAACCTCAATCAAGATGGTGCTGGTCCAAGTTCTTTTATGGTTGACACTAATATTTTTCCAACGGGACAGACAGATACAGTTCCAGACCAAACACCGACTGAAGTTCGAAGGACAAGACGTAATAGGCAACCACGTAGGTGTGGAACGGGAGGTCATTTAGGAAATCATTAGATTTTTAAGATTTTATAAATGTAATATTTCAATTTTTTTTAATTACTTAATTTTAAATTTTAAAATTTTATTTTTTTTTTAATTAAATTGTGCAAAATGTGAAAAAATGTACATATTTGATGCTTTTAATTGTTGTAATCGATTACATTTATAGTGTAATCGATTACATAATACAAAATGCACAGATCTGATGCCTTTAATATGTTGTAATCGATTACTAGAATTGTGTAATCGATTACTAGAATTGTGTAATCGATTACTAGAATTGTGTAATCGATTACTATTATATTGTAATCGATTACTGTTAAATTGTAATCGATTACATAATACAAAATGCACAGATCTGATGCCTTTAATATGTTGTAATCGATTACTAAAATAGTGTAATCGATTACAACATATAATGTAATCGATTACAACTGAAGTCGGTTTGGGCCAGACCGACTTCTCACCTATGTTATCAAGGCCCAAACCGACTTTAGCAAAAAAAATCCAACGGCTCAAGTGATTAGAATAATATCCAACGGCTGTAAACAAAGTTCGCTTGGAAGCGAACTAACCTGCAGTTCGCAGGTTAGAACGCACCTTTATTTAAAAGTAGATGAAAAGAGAATAATACAACAATAATGTAAAAAAAAGAGAATATATGCATTTTTGAAAGACTTAGTAAACCCATAACCACAAATTGTCCATGACTTTAGAAAGCACATTGCATGCAGCGTGGAAAATGACTTGATGACCTTTCCATGCTCAAATAAAGTGGAAAATGCTGACAGGCTCCCTTGCAAATTACATGTCACAACATCATATAATGTATATTAAGAATGTATACTTTCAACTTCATACTAATAATTTATATTTATGTTTATAGATATTGATCTTATTATAAAAAATGAGAACAATTAATAAAAATTATCGGATTTTATTTCAACGTTCAAGATTTATTGTGATCATGTAACTAAATAATTATTTTAGTTCTAATTATCCATGTATAGTTTTAAAGTCAAGATTTATTACACTAGCATCACTCATTTGTTATATTCAATTTTTTGATAAATTATGGACAATTTAATTAGTGTTTTTAAAATTGGATCAATCATTGACTTCGTCAGATTGCTGGGACAATGATTAGTGAGTTACTAAATCGTTTCATATAAAAAAGTTCTAAAATTTTCATAACACTAACTAACATTATTGAATAATTTTATAGGCCAAATTAAAAAAAACATTACTATAACCTAAATACTTAATTAAATTTTATCATAACAAAATGCTACAAATAAGTTAAAAATATCATCAAACAATATAAGTTTGATATTTTAATCATAAGAAAAGTGGAGAAACATGTTTATAACTTAATTAAATAATTAATATTTTATTACAAGATAACTCAACTAATGACAAATATTACTAAAATAATTTTAAATTACAACATTCTTTTTCCTCCCAAGGATAATAGTTGACTTGTAGATTCATACCGATTATGGTTCAAGGCTGACCAGATAAGTGACTCAGACCGTCTAGGCATGTGTTCTAGATCGGACTAGTCGAGCTGAGCCAAGCTTAATAACATTGCAGTCAATGCAAACTGCACCGTTATCGGGTGTTTTGTCACGGGGAGGGGCATAAACCCGCTATCGCGTGCCATTGACTTCACACCTTTTGGCTTTTTTGGATTTGGGAGTAGGGAACAAAACAATTATAAGCATTCATAATTTCATAAAATTAATCTCCAAGGGAGCTACTAAAAGCTCAAGAAATATAACATGTGTATGAAAAAACCAATAATCATGCTCCAACAAATAGAAGCGTACAAAATGCATGTAAATTATTTGAAGAGTTAAAAAGTAATGGAAAGACAATATAGTGGTTCAGTAAATAAACAGCCAAAATGGGATATAGGATCAAAACTTGCAATGCTAACCTAATGAGCCTTACTCAGCAAATACTTCTTCAAAACATCCATAACAGAACCGAAGTCTGCGTTAACTTGAACCGGCGGGTTCGAGAATCTGCAAGCCATGTCCTTGATATCCTTGGAATGATAATCAGTTTTCGACTGAGTAAACTTCAAACCATGAGCAGTACTCACCACCACGGTCTTATCAGTAGGCTTTATAACCCCGCTGTTCCTCAGTTTAAACAATGCAGACAAAGCAACACCGGTGTGAGGGCAAATAAACATGCCTGTAGAATCTGCTTGAGCCATAGCATCCATCAATTCCTCCTCGGTCGCTTCCTCAACAATCCCATTCGAGTTCTGCAATGCATAAACAGCCCTGTCAATAGAAACAGGATCACCAATCTGTATGGCAGACGCGAAAGTTGTACTGGCCTTAATTGCCTTGAAGTCTTTCCACCCTGCCTTGAAGTACAAATAAAGGGGATTCGCATTCGCGGCTTGAGCACAAACAAGCCTAGGGATCCTATCAACAAGTCCTAACTCTTTACACATTTGAAACCCTTTGTAAAATGCATAAATATTCCCTAGGTTTCCACCAGGTACAATGACCCAATCTGGCACTTCCCAATCAAACTGCTGCAAAATCTCAATAGCAGCAGTTTTCTGCCCTTCAAGCCTCAAACTGTTCAGCGAATTCGCCAAATAAATCGGCAACTCAGCAGTAACCTCCCTAATCAGCTGCATACACCCATCGAAATCAGTGTCAATGCTAAGAACAAAAGCACCATTCGCAATCGGCTGCACCAACTGCGCCATCGAGATTCGATTCGCAGGCAAGAAAACCATTGAAGGGATCCCTGCAGAAGCACAATAAGCAGACAATGCAGCAGATGTATCACCGGTGGAAGCGCAACCAACACCAACAACAGGCCTACCCATTTTCCTTAACCTATTAACTTGACTCACCAACACAGACATACCCAAATCCTTAAAACTCCCAGTATGGCTAATTCCACAGTGTTTAACCCATAAATCATTCATGCCCAGAAACTGTTTGCCAAAACGCTCAGCCCAAAAAAGGTTAGAGTTTCCCTCAAAAGCGCTTATAATATCATCATCATCAATCTCAGGAAGAACCCATTCCTTTTTACTCCACACTCCAGAGCCATAAGGCCAAGTAGTCTTACCCACGCGCGAGTCAAAGAGCGTGCGCCAATACTCGCCGTCGTAGCGCTTGAGGGCACTAATATCATGGCGGACATCAAGGAGGCCACCGGATTGGGAGCGGTAGACGATCTCATCAAGGGAGTAGGACTCAGTGGAGGAAGGATCTGCATTGAAAGGAACGTACTTGGCGGAGAAAAGGTGGTCGTGGTTGTTGTTACGGCGAGCCTCGTCGCGGATGTTTTGGTCGGCGGGGCGGCGGTGTTTGGTGGTGAGAGGAGGAGGAGTGGGTTGGGGTTCAGCACTGGATTTAATAGTGAAGTGGGTTTGGGTTTGGGTGGGTTTGGAAGTGAAAAGATTGGTTTTTTGAAAGAAAGGGTTTGAAGAGTGAAACAATGAAGTGGAAGAAGAAGCCATTGTTAATGTGAAAAGAAAGAGTAAGTGTTTGTTGTATTTGTAATTTGTAGTTTAGATCCAAAAGTGTTTCAGATTCAGGGTTGAAGAGGTTTTAGATCTCATCATTACTCAATTAAATAATTATAATTATTATTCACATTAGCATATGAAAAATTGTTTTAATTGAAAGGGATAGTGAAAACTGGAAGTATACTTGTTGATATTTGAGATTAACAAAACTAGGTTGTGATAAATGGGTTTATGCATTCTGTTGCAATAGATTTTACAATAATTTGGTAACACATTTTTATACTTTTATACTAGCAAGGTATTTTATTATTGTATGATTCAGAACATACATTACATATGCATTCATATGATTAATAACACATGTTATTTGTGCATTTGCATGGTTAAAACACACATATTATGTGTGCATTAAGAAGACACATGTGATCAGTGCATTCACATGGTTAAAAATACACATGTTATCTGTACATTCGCATTATTAAGAAACTATTTGTTACTCATACACTTTTGTACATTCTTGATTGATTTTCATGCTCTATGGTCTATATATTTGGCTAACTAATAAATATAATAAAAACTTATATTGTTCATTATTGATATAGACGTAAATATGAAGAATGTGTTTAATTTTATGATTTATTGTGATAATTTCTTAATGTAACTTGTTTATAATTTATTTTACTTCTAAGATATTATTTCTTAGTAGTTGTTATTATAATTGATTTATTATTTCATATTTTTTTAATAAGTAATTTAATGATTAGTACTTTACGTGTTTAATGATTTAGTATGACAAATTCAAAAATAATATTTTAATAGATAGAAATGAAATTTAGTAATAAATGATCATTGAAATAGAGAAATTGTAATTATATAGTTCGGTTTTTTTCCTCAAAGTAATGGAGGCCTAAATTATTTAGGATTTAAACTGTGTCGCGACCCGAATTTCGGTTGGAAGACCGGTCCTGCGACTTAGGGAGAGGCGAACTCGATTTCTACCTATTCCAATTGATTTGGAGTCGCCACTACATTTTTTGCGGTTAAAACGTAAAAAACTCTCTATATACCCAATTAAGATAATTTGGTCTTTAATCAAAGATTCTGAGCTCGGGAGTCAATTACGGATCAGAGAAGGTATTAACACCGCGTTCGCCTGTATTAAAACGGTACCCTCGCTAATAACACGGACTTTTATACCCTTAAAATTATTTATTAAAAATTTAATTATGAAAGCAAAATATTTATTTTTTATTGTTGTCTCTCACAAGAGTTCATATTGCTCCTACTGTAAGGACCGAAATTCTACATTTGAAAATTTTTCTCCTTTATTTATTTCCTTCACATACATTTTTCATTTTAATTCTATATACCAATTCATACTCATTCCATATCCTCATATTCGTATACATTCTACTTAGCAGAAAATCATAATTCATATAAATATAATTCAATAACTACCGCATACAACTAGATATGAGTTTCCAAAATACTCATAGCTACAAATATCCAGAGTTACAATATTATGTAAGTTAATATACCTGTAGTTACATGATGCTTTAAACTACCAAAGATGCACTCATGTACAAAATAGTGCAAATAAATGAATCCAAAATATAAAGCTCATAAAGCTTCCAAAAATGAGTCCCCTTCATATCACTTGTTTATCTGCAATGAGATTATCAATGACAAAAGCACAAAACACACAAAAGAGTAAGTCATTAATTCAATAAACGTCATTATAAGATAATCCACATTAGAAAAGGGTTAGTAAACCATTTTAAAAATTCATTTTCTTCGCTGCATAACTTGAGCCAAAGTCGCTACACCCCTTAAGGTTAACTAAAAGTAGATTCTCATTTCTTTTAAAGAAAACGTGCTACATATACTCGAGCCGGAGTTTTTGCTTATATACTCAAGTCAGAGTTTCGCTTATATAATTAAGCTAGAGTTTTGCTTATATACTCAAGTCAGAATTTCGCCTATATACTTAAGCCAGAGTTTCGCTTATATACTCAAGTCAGAGTTTCGCTTATATACTCAAGCCAGAGTCACTAACTATTCATGGTCGGCTAAAAATATATTTTCCTTTCTTTGATTTTACCATTTCTCATTTCCCGTAAATCTACACCCATTTTAGTATAAACACACCCATATATGTTTATACTAAATGCGTAATTCACAACTCAATCATTGCATAACCAGAAAATACCCACATTTTCCATTCCAAATGCACAATTAATGACTTATCCTTACCTCAGTGAGTGTTGGATTTGGTTTTTGACAACTTCACAAGTTCCACCGACACCGCCGCCAACTTTAGGATCTTTCCTCATTCCCACCATATAACACAATGTTAGTCATTTACTCCAAATATCACATAAACAACTTATATTGCATTATTTAACCATACAAGATATTCATCATATTTTCAATGTTGCTAAACTACTTTCATCATAAGTTTACAACTATCCAAAACATACATAATCATCTCATATTTCAACATTAGAAAGTAAACTCATCTTCTACCTCTAGCATTTTACCCATTTTTCACTTTAATCACATTTTCTCTTTAGGGTTTTGGGGTTTTCATGAATCAACCCACAAATCCTTTCCATGCTTGAAATAAAGTAGTTTTGAAGTTATTTTTGATATGAAATTAATAGTTTAGAGACGACACTATTTTTAGAGAATTTAGAGACAACACGGGTCATAACCTTACTATAAAAATTACATTGAAATTCATTTAAATAAATAAAGAGATTTTCCTTTTTAAAAAAAATTAACTTTGAAGTAACGAATTGGGATAATGCATATAACTTGATGGTTTAAAATATAATTAACATTTTGATTGAACTAGGCTTTGGGCAAAATAAAACAAATGATGAATAAAAAAGGAAGTAATATATATAAATATAAATGACTAAAATAAAACCAAAAGGGATATTGAATTAAGTAAAATAGTAAGGGTAAAATAGTAAAATAACCGAGCTGGCTTAATTTGGAGGGGTTAATTCAGAAAGCAAAATCCCTAGGGATTTCTCTCCTCCTTCTTCCCTTTTTCTGAATTCGTTGGTGTATGTATGTCTTCTACTCTGTTTTGAGGAAACTAGGGTTGATGAATTCCGATTGTATTGATGGCCCCCAATGAGAAAGTGAATACATTGGACAATATACTTTCCATGCCTTCCGATTGCTGATTTGTATGGGGTCTGTATGATATGTGTGTGAATCAGTATGTGATGTGATGTGAGAGTATATGTAGGTATGTGCCCTTTGATTGATCACTTTCTCTTTGAATTGCTTCCTCAACTACTCTAACTCTTTAAGGCTTGGTCTTCTTGGTTGCTCTATCCTTCTAACATTGATTATCATATTAATATATTTCATCAATGATGCATTCCAGGTTGATGGTGCAACTTGATTACATATATAAAAGATGAGAGAGCCGTGATAAATCAATGGGGCCACTTGAGATATGTGTGGTGGAATCAGGAACTTTTGAGGCATTGATGGACTTGCTTATTATCCAAGGTGCTTCAATCAATCAATATGAGACGCCCAATGTGTATTGAGTCAAAGAAAGCATCCCTGCCTCTCAAGTCCAAAGTTACAGCAACCCTTTTTTATCCCCAGAGATCCCTAATGGATGGGTCCACAAAATGTTTCTATTAACAAACTTGTAGTGTTAAAGTTTCATAAGACTCGACAAGAGCTAGTATGGCATGTAGAATTGCAAGTCTTGTTTATCTAAATATGATTGTGCACATTGTGTTATAATGCTCTATATCGTTAAGTGCTGTAGATTGTAGCATATGATACCTACACTATAAATTGATAAGTTGCTTTTAGTGAGGTAGCAGAGGCACCATAGAATCCATCTTTTTTAAAATAACAACTACATTTTTAAACCCAATATAAGCAAAGACATGTGAGAACTCATGAGAATGCAACCATTAATTGGGATTCGAATGCCAATTAATAGAATCCAATCTAAAACGTTCATACTTGCAACTTGTATTTTTATTTGATTTCACAATTAGGCCAGACAAAATTGAGTGTTCACAAACTGTTAAAATATTTTAAAGATAGTAATGGAAATGAGAAAATTATAATTAAATTTTCAGATTTTTTTTAAAATAAAGCAAACATACTAATTTGCATGTAGTGATTACTATACATTATTTTTCACCTTTAATAACATCATCCATGCCACCCATAAACACCACATTAAATGACAATATGTGTTTCTATTCCTTTATGTTCACCAGTTTTATTTATTCCTAATGGTCGACAGTATTTATTCAAAGTAATTATTAATTGTTAATTAATAGTTTGTAACTGATAGACGATATTTATTCAACGTTGTCGATATTTATTCACTTATTCGATTACAAATTACAATAATATAACAAAATTTATTGTCATTATTCACATATGCAGTTTCTATTCCCTTATGAATTTTCCTTTATTGTTAGTTTTTACTATGTATTTTTATATTTCATTGTCCACATTAATTACTCTTAAATCTCGAGAGTAATTTTCTTCAAAACTGTTATTATTCGATAATTATTCACAATTTATATAAATGATTATTTTAATATTTGAAAAGTTTGTCTAGATGTAAAAAGAAAAGAAAACAAAAGGTAAAAATTTATGACATTTTATTATCTTTAATTAACTTATACGATACATTTGAGAGATAATTAAAAAATTATGGTGTCATTTTTTAATAAATATATAACATATGTAGTGATTAATAAATTCAATAAAAATATAAGATAAAAATTGTATTCATAATATATTTTAATTTGATAACAAAAAAGTTTTGTTTTTACCGTAACATAGACTCAAAGATAAAATAATATATTAAGTTAATTTCCATGAAAAGTTGCACATCTCTTTTTAGAACAATGAAGAAACATTATATTCTTGACATTTGAATTATTTAAAGACACATAATCAAATATCAAATATGAGGAGGAAACTTAAATGAAATGAACATGTATAGATTGACAATGTTGGAGGGGAAATGAAGAAAAAAATTTGAAAGGAAAAGAGTGATTGTGGCGATAACATATGTCATGACTAATGTGGCAAAGACTTAGTTTTCTTATATAGTATATAGATATAATAAAATAAAACTTTTATCATTAAAAACACAAGTAAAATTAACTATTTGTCTTCA